CCCCCTTTTACACACACACCTTTCCCCTGACACACACGCACCTCCCAGCGTGTTGTCTGTATTATTTTCTCCAATGTTGACTGCACGAAGCAATATACGAAATAAACTTACTTTTCACGCAGTCAGCACTTCAGAACTTTGGGAAGTCCATAGACAAGACTGTCACGCAAGGCTGGCGCTATACAAATTGAATGCCTGACCTGTTTAGATATTTCTCTGGCTTTAGTTTCCTTTCGCTGTCATTAGCAATGTATTAAATTTATATTACTCGATACATTTAATAAATTACAATGCTGTGCACTGGAACAGCGAGTATAAAGAATAGTAAAAAATAAGGTGGTGGGCAAGTCGAAAAAGAATGAAGGATAATAATGTTGCAGCGTTAAGCCCATTATAATTCTCGTCTGGGGTCCTTACATTTTATTGAGAGATATTGCATCCAGGCTATAAAGCCTTCAAAAACGCATGAACATCTGTTCTGTGAAACGCCTTGTTATAGATATTTGCTAATCTGTTACGTAAAATTGTGGTCACGTGGCAACTTTATTTGAGATAAACTAAAGATCTATTTAACTTATTTAAGTTGCTGCTGCTAAAACAACACTTTATTTATAGACAAGTTAACAACCCAGTTATAGAGCACTTGTTTATTTTACTGAATTTGTAGATCGCTAGCGTCGTGGTGTAGCTGTTAGATTCTCGGCCGTCGCATACAGATGACCTGAGTTCGATTCCTGTGTGGGGAGAATTTTTATATAATATCTCTGTCTTTCCCACAGAGGTGGTATACCTCCAGCCCGGGTCGACCCTAACGGGTAGGGTCTACCCCCCCCCCCCCACCACCCTTTCAACCACCCCTTCTAGATGATCTAAACTGTAATGAGGATGTGTTAAAGCACCAACAATAAAAATTCCGTCCCAATACCTTAGTGAGTAAACCATAAGTAATGTACTTTTGAGGATTTGATCCAGTTCTATTTCTTTAAAGAAGAATCGAGAATCCCGCACAAAACGATAGCTGAAATGGCTGCCATAACGCCATTTCAGAGATATTTAAATTACCTCGATGATTGGCAAAATACAACAGCATTCGGTTTGACAGTAATGAAGAAATAAATACTCAAAATGTGATAAAAACTCTTCTCACTTCTCAGCCAGGATTTGTCTCAATGTCCAAAGCAGAAACGAAAAGTTGTCTTAATCCATATTTTCTTCTGTTTCGCTTATTAAAAATATTCTCCTCTTCAGATGCATTGGTGATCATCAAACAGTAATTAACGAATTATTATTATTA